ATTAGATAGCAATAACGGTTACATAACTCCGTGAAATACTAAAAACTGAGCTGCTCACTTGAAAAGGGTGACTTTTATGGCATATGAATGATACATTAATAAGTTAACTCATAAACTTACAGTTAAATAAATTATATGAAAAACAAAGGGAATAAGCAACCAGAACTATCAGTTACTAATTCACTACATTTTCCTGTTATCTCTGCTCTATTGTATCTTTATTTTGGAAGTACTAAATAAAGATATATTATGAGCATCCCTTAACTGTATTCATGAACATAAAGTCTATAGCTTGAAATTGGTCAGGAAGGTGGGGAGGGTATAGTATTAGCACCACAAAAATTGTCGTATACTACAAATCAAGGCTACGTCCACTACAACCACCAGTGAGCCAGGTGTTAAACATTTATCAGCACAACACTGGTTGTATGGATCAGATAACCATTGTGGGTACCTCTGGTAGAAATAAAATGAGATGGTCTCCTGTGGCCTTTGGATCCCCAACAAAAATACTAGCAAATCTACAAAGCCACTATACATGCATTCATTGCAGAAGAAAATGACCTTTCTGGTCAGCTGTTAGAAGAAACTCAACTTGGACTCAGGAGACATATGTTCTCCTGTTTTGCTAGTATTGTGTTTGGGTACAAGGGGCTAAGTGATAGAGCACCTGTAGTACTGTCACAATGAGGCCAGATAACAGACAAACCACAAATGATTTAATTCTTAGCCCCAGAGAGGAGAGTATCTGGGGAGTCTGCACAACAGTGTCGGGGTTTGGAAACCAAAAGTTAACACAGTTACTTCTCTGGAGCCTGGAGATAGGAGTCAAAAGGTCTAAGGATCCGTTGTTTTAGAAACTACCCCAGGATTTCAACCACCTGTGAACATGAAACTGCATAGGATTACCTCCACCTGCTCAGCCCCTTCCATGAGACCAGTCACTGTGGATTTAAACACTCTAGCTGTTTGTAAGTAACTTCACAGATCCTGTTCTCTGGTGTGGATGGATCAGAGACTTCTGGATGCTTCAGGAGTCCACAGCTCCCAGTTGTCATCCATTAAGGGTTGTTTTCTTTTCATTCTCACGACATTTAGCGAGCATTGATTATGTGCCTGGCACCATGCAGAGAGGCTTTAGGGATACCACAAACGAGGACGACCCAGCCCTGCTCAGGTATTTGCAGTAGAGTGTGATAACCTAATTTATATATGTGCAATGTGAATTCAAGAAAAACATGAACAACTGTGCTGAGGTGTGGGGATGGTGAGTTTTAAGGAGAGGGGTCTTGACATATGTTCAAGATCCAATCCAAGGTAGAAGTTCTCTGAAGGAAGTAAGAGGCCATCATGCAAAGTATGGTTTGGAATACCAGGGCACTTTCTCAGGGACCTGACAAGTCTTCGTTCCTGGGAGAATATGATAAATCCACAGCATGGTTTCTGAATACAGTGAGGTACCACCCTCACCAGTGTCTGCAGAAATGTCCCAGAACCCTTACTGCCCCAAAGCAATTAGCACAAGTTCTAATTTTTCACAAAAGAGAAATTGGGAAACTGGACTTGCTCCAACTTTTCCCATAAGAAAGTTTATTTCCAGAATATCTAACACTGGGTGTAATGTCAAGTAACTCTCAGACTTTTAGCAGCTGCAGACAGGGAGGAAACCACACTATTAGGTCTTCAGCCACACCCCAAGCCCACTTTTAGATCTCTGTCCGATCCAGATGCCAGAAATTGATTTGAGTAGCTCACAGTAATTAGATGGAACTAAGTGAGCTCAAAGCATCCGGGGTTAAAGTGGCACACACCTCAACATTCATGAGAGTCCAGTGTCCTGAAAGTCACCAGCTGAGGTGGCTCAGCTGGCCACAATGACCTTAGCAAGCAGCACTCAGCTCTGAAATTAACCTGTCAACTAAATTGAAGGGGAGAAAAGGCTAGGCTAGGACACAAACATCCATCCCCACCCCCGGTCCAATCACTGACGTCAAGCTTGGCGTGGGTGGTATTAATCATGCCAGCCTGGTGTGCAGTTGAGGACAGCTCTCCTTCCAGCCCTTCCAACCCGTTCCTGGGACCGTTCCATCAGCCATGCACCTGCCGCTGGCCACAAACCCTCAACTCGCAGACAGGCACGGATGCAGACTGTTGCTGACGACACTCAAAGCCAGAGTGCACCCTCTAGAACACAGGCTTGGGTGGGGGAGGGGCGAGAACAAACCCTTGTGCCCATGCTTTCTTCCCAGGTGTGCAGTTCTCTAATCTCTGCAATGCTTCCTCCAGAGAAGCTCTCACCATGAGATGGTCATTTCCTGAGGATTTAATGAGAATATAGGATTAATGACCCAAAGCACTCTTTGCAGCCGGTCATTAATTCCCCCCAGGAAATACCCATGGTCTTTAATCAAAATTGCCTAAATTATAGACTAGTGATGCGTGTCCTCACAGGTTTGGGGGCTGTGGGGGGCGGGGGCTGTCATCCCTACTGGTTCCAATAGATGGCGCCTATCTTCATGTAAATAAACCACTCCTAATTCATTTCTCACTTCTCACCAGCGAAACCAGAGGGCATTAACAACAACAAAAAACAGCACGCAGTGGAGAGGACTTAGTGAAGGCCCAGACAGGAACGTTCTGTTCAAGGGCTGTCCCCAGGCCTGGCACACATCTCAGGCTCAGAAGACTGAGGCACACCAGGGTGCAGCCAGAGACCTTAGCAACAGTCCAGCCTCCTGTGTGCAGCCTGAGCTGGGTGCTGGCAGCTAAGTAATGAGAAAGGTGGGGTGAGGCACCGAGCACCAAGAAGAGGCCCTTTCTGTAGGCTTTGGGGAAGGAATGGGATGTTCAGAGAAGACTTCTTGAAGCTGATACAGGTTTCCCAGACTATCCACAAGTTTGCTTTATGCCCCTTCACTTTTACGAAAGACCTACATTACTGCTTGTTTTGCTCACCAACAGAATTTTCACCTTTTGGTGATGGTAATTGCTTCTTCACTTTACCCCATTTCAGCTTACCAAAAGGTTTCATGGGAACACACCCCTCTTGGATTGCAGGGGTGGAGGGAAACCTGTACTCTGTAACTGTTGTATTTCAAGGCCCCTCCTTTCTTGGCCCACAAAACACCAAACTTTTCTTTTTCCACATGGAATTGTAAATAATGGGGAGGTAAGAGTCTTTTGCAAAACAATTTAAGAGCTTCTGGCAGAATGCAGCCCAACGCCCAACTAACCCTTGCTGAATCTGCTGCCAGTCTGTCTTGAATCATACACCTATCAAAGGATATGTATCAGAAGACTACTCTTCTAGGGAAAGATGAGGCATATGTATGCCTGACTTGCATCATATACCTTCAGCTGCAGACAATCCATGCAGATCTCTCAGACTGCAATCCCTGAGACTTGGCACTATGACTCAGATGTGAATGAAGTCAGAAAGATTGCTTTATTTTGGTTGGGAGTCGCCGCCTCCTGATCGATTTGGGAGGCTTGAGTATTTTGATATTTGTCTCAGGGTTCCAAGGTACTAAAGCCAGAGGTTAAAATGGCCATAATTCTAGTGGCGGCCCTTAAATGTGGCATAAGGATCCCTCAATCGGAAAGCTAAGGCAGCTCCGATCCCAGGTGTAGCCTGATAGTTCTGGCTCTACATTCAATCCAGCAGGATAGTGAAATGAGGGGTGCAGGGGAGCTGACTTCTACCTCTCATGATGCTTAGGAAAGCTGGCAGATAGTAAAGGATTTGCTTTTACAAATTGATTAAAGTGAGTGAACTTTCTCCAACCCAGGTATAAAACCAGAACGATGTCCAACAGCTTGAAACAACTAGCTTCACTGAACAGAAACTGGAAAATGGACAAAATAGCCTTAGTCCAACGTGGTGTGGAGAGTGTGAGATGCTGTGTCTCCTACTTACCTGCCCATAGCACACTTCTCTATGGATAAAATGGATTACGACCCACTTGGCTCTCCATTGTACAGGCTTTGGCACTTTAGGCTATCTGTAAAATGGGAATAATACCGCTCGCCCAATTTGTAGATTTGTGAAGACAAGTAAGTAAACCAGGAATGTAAAAGCGCCCAGCACGTATTAGTCTGTTTTCATCTTCGCTTCTGCCGTCAAGGGGGTGCGAGAGTTAATGAAACTCTTGCTGGGAAGCGGATCACTTATTTCAGCCAGAACCTGACCCACTGAAACCTGAAACTCAGAGTGCATAGGAAACGCGAGCAGCCCTCGGGTCCCTTCCTGACGACCCTCTGTGAAAAATCGATTCGCGATCGAGGGCGCGCAGACCCTTCCCTTCACCCCACCCCCGTTCCCACCAGGGGCGCGGCCGCATCCCCGGATTGCTGTTGAAGCTTGAGGGCGGAAAGCAAGACCCGGGGGCGCGGCTGGCGGCCGGCCGCCGGCCTCGGCGTCTGCTCAAACCTCGGGCTTCCCGGGTCCCTAGAGGCAAGGCGGTGTTTGCGTCTTTGAAGGCGGCCCGCCGGGGGGCGCGGCCGGCTGTGGGCGTGGCGAGCGCGCGCCGCCCTTTTTCCTGCTGTGGCGCCCCCACCGCGGCCCGGCTGGGAGTGCGCGCGGGCGCGCGCGGGG